ATTGGTATTCACGCCTCTTATTATTTACCCCCTACCCCCTTTTTCTCTTTTGATTTTCGATTTTTTGAAAAATCACCTCATGTGTAATAATTTAGCGTTAAAGTTGCTGCAGTTTGGAAGACTTACATAAATTTTATTACTTTATGTAAGAATATATTACATGTCCCTGGTATTGTTAAGTCTTTTGCAATTTATCTTAGCAACAAAACTTATTGATTTTATGCGACTTATTTAAACAATTACACGGTTTTAAGGTGTTAAATATTTTTTAGTCTCTTTTGTATAAATATTGTTTAACAAAAACATTACAATTACATTAAATCTTCCAATTTTTATGAAAAGTTTTGGCAAGACATTATATAAATGATGAAATATAATTTTATCAGTTAATTGTCAATATTTAAGTTAGTTCAGGAATTTGTTTATAAATTACAAGCTAGTAATTGTGTTCAAGCATAATTGCGTCTGATTGAAACTCGTATTCTTTTGAATCAAATAATTATTAGAAAGGATTAAACTTTTTTATTTAAGTATTTATTACTCTTTTATTTCAAGAAGAATTTAAAGAGAATTGAATTCTCCCTAGTTGTGTTTACACGTCTTATTGTTTAATCTCTTATTTTTTCTTCCCTTCTTACTTTTCGTCATTCTTTTCCAATTTTTTTTATTCATTTTCTAATTATTTTTCTTTTTAGGAAATCATCTCGCGTGTAATGACTCAGCTTTAAAGTGACTTCAGTTTAAAAAAAATAACACTTACATTTTACTTAACAGTTTTTTGGAATAAAAGAGATATTTCGCGAATTCACGTTACATTCAGTACACTACCGTACATAAGATTTTATTTTATTTTACAGCCGTCGTTGAAAAGTCGTCACAATTTTGAGTTTAAAACTACTAATGTTCGACTCTGTAGCCTTGAAATTTTGAACACAATATAGAAGACAAAAGTTCAGATCAAAGAATTCTTGGATCAAGCTTTGGGTGATTGTCTTCGGGGAGGACTTTTTGATTTAACTAACCCGCATTTGCGTAATATAGTGAAAAGAACCACGAAAAATTTCCACGTTTAGCATGACGGCAAAGGGAAAGGAGACCCAAACGTATCATTACGTTTTCGTCACGGGGTGTGCATGCGTAATTACTTCAAATTTTACTTACGGTGGCGTACGGAATGTAACGTAAAAGTGTGAATCCTTCTAAGAAATCAAAATTACCATATAATTTTATAGCTTTCGTATTTTTTCATTGCAGCAAAATTTATTGAATTTATGCAACATAATTTAATATTAACATGGCTATGAAGTGCTAAATATTTTTGGTTTTGTAGAAAAAAATATAATTTAATAAAAATCAATTGTTAGATATTAAATTTAAGAATGTCATTTTATTAGTTATAGGCAATATTTAAGTATGTTCAGAACTTTCATTATATAAATACTTAACGTATGAGTACTATTCAACATTAAAAACAATCTAAAAAAAATGAAAAATAACTATAGTGTTGAGGATGGATAGAGAAATATCTGAGTTTATGGTGACACATAAGAGAAATATGTAGAAATTTCGTCGAAAAAATAAAGTTACTACAAATACACTGCTTTGTAAAACTGAAATTCGAGATTTCAAAAGTAATAGAGTATTTAAAAACAACATAAAATCAGATTTCTGATGTTTTTTAACATAGCATGAGAAGATATAAGCTATTATAAAATGCCTCTTAATATTAAAACAGTGTTATTGCTTGATAAAATATTTAAACCTAAAGTTGAATTGTTTAATCTCAGTTATACACCAATAAGTCTACAATTAATCTATAATTTTCCACCAATTATTTATGCTTAACTAAGACACATGGATGTTATTTCCATAAATTTAGCCGATAATTATATATTAACTTAAATATATTTTTTTAACGGCAGTACTGATACCGGAAGTGTTGCTCATTTAACGATACCACACCCAGCGGTCACCTGTGAACTTAAATCATGGACATTACCCACGCCACACTGCAACAGATACCCTTTCATAGGGTGGACCACATTCACACTCTACAGAGGACAACACACAGAGAGAAACATCCATTCCCTGAGCGGGATTTAAACCTGCAACCATTGCCACCACAGTCAAGCAAGCTAGCCATACGGCCAACTGGCCGGCTAGCCTGAAATATAGAAAAAATTATTTTTCTATACGGAAAAGATATTGCATGTGCTCCATTATCAAAATAAAACACTAAAGTTAAATTATTTGGTGTCTAATTAATTTTCAATATTCTACTAAACCTCATACACATATATAATGTTCTCAACTGTAGGCAAAGCAGCTTCGATTTTCCTGGCAACAAAAATTAACACACGCTCTCCATTATCGAATAAAAAAAGCAACAAAAGAAAAATAAACACTGGCAAGACTTTGATGTGTTCATTTCCGTCTCTCTTGTTTTAACGCCAGCTCTTTAAAATACTAATAGAAAACTTCCATTCATTTAAGAAACAAAAAGAACGACAATAATGAAATAAAAAATAGAGGAACAACTAAACTCCTAAACAGCGCTATCATCTGCCGTCACTCTTTTATATCTTCTTCAGAATCTCAAAGTCTCTGTGTCCCTCAAGTGCTTCCTTATCACAACGATTCACTGCTCCCAGCCGCGTTTAAAATTCAATTACGGCAGGAAACTTTCGAACACCTAGGGCATAAGTTTTAATTACGATCTTAATTAGTGACCGACGACACTGATATGTCAGCGGGCATTTTTGCCCTGGGAATTATTCACCATTTTACGCTTTGCGGAGTCGCGAGACTTGACCGAAATCGTTCCAGCCCACGTGATGGCATTGCTGCGTGACATATCCAGCTTCGAGACACTGAGTTGTGCAAATGATATGCAAAACTAGCGAGTGCAAACGACTGTGGATTCTCGTCCACTCGTCTGCTTTGCCTCTATTGTTCCATGCGATGCAAATGAGGTTTGGAATATTCATGTTTGGTGCCTGACGCACAAAATGAAAGACAGGGTTTGGAAGGGGGCGTAGTTCTAGCGTTATGAAACTATTTTTTTTCCTATTAATATTCAAAAATGTGAGTGAATAAGTTCGCTTTTTCTTTTTGCTTGTGTAGTTTGATGTTGATGCCGAAATGCTTCCACATTTGAATAGATTAAACCATTGGAGGGAAGTATATTTGTTGGTAGAATTGGAAATGGAGGAATAATTTTTTCGATGAAAACTGAGCGTTGGCGGAAAGAGACACTATTTAAAAAGAGGGAACATACATCACTTATAATTAATATTTTCTGATATTAATTATTGATAATAAGATTTGACACAATAATGAAAACTGTTCTTTATATAGTTAGTAGAAATTAATAAAAAGACGTTCTTATTCTATCATAGTCATTTATTTTTGTATTCTTCACTATTTCTCGAATGTGTATTATAGTTTGTGATTTTAATTCATCATTACTTGGAATTTACTAATTGATTTAAAGCGGGATTGTAAGATCGAATAGCTATGAATGATGGGTTTAAAGGATGCAAAATAAGCCTAAAGTTTACGTTATAATTTGCAAATTTATAGTTTTCTGCACATTCCAGAAATATATAGATATATATATTATTATTATCATTATTATACATATATATTTTCTTTTACATAAATCAGTATCTTTGGTGCGTTTTCAGTGAAAAAGTAAAAGGTGGCTTAAACTAAATAAATTCGAGATAAAACCTTTGTTTGACTAAACAATAGTTCATTCAATACTTTTCAGTGGTTTTGTCTAATGCCATAAGTGACTAGTTTTGAAAAATGCAAAAAAGGTCTAAAATCTACAGCGTAATTAGCTTGCATTGATGCTATAACGACCAAATATCTGCTATACTGTAAAAAATTCCGGATCGAATTACGATTAAAAACACTGGCACCCTCAGTGCAGCATCCGTTAAATCAAATTTTGCCGCAAGATTTTATACAGTAATTTTTGCAATAATACGTAGCTAATTTACGTAATTTTTACAGTAAATATTGCTATGAAAATTTCGGTAAATCAGATTTTTACAACGTAGAATTTTACCGTAATTTGATTAGGAATTTTTTTACAGAATAATTGTGTGACGCTTTGACTATAGGTGCGTGTGCTGATGGGTGACAGAGCCTCCTTCCCTGAGGTTATTGTGACGATGGAACAAATCTCTTTGTATACCCTCCAGGGTTGGGACGGGGTTTCGCCAAACTTACATTATAGTTGTGAGGGTCATATGTATATATATACCCATAAGCAGAATATTTTCGAATGTTCTGCAACAGGACTTATTAATTTATAAAGATGTTCTGCAAGCATTGGATTGGGATTGTTCTGCAAGACTACTGGAGGCAAGTGGGCGGAGAAGGGGGATTCGCAGCAAAACGCTGTCACTTATTCAAGATACAAATTGTTCTGCAGGACTNATGATATTGAGGTTTATATATATATATACATATAAAGTAATTCCATATACTGTGGTATTAATTCGCATTTGTACCTCAATATTCGTAATTCTGATTTAAATGATAAAATAAATTGAAATTTTTAAGATTAATAACTTTGTCGATCTAGATGCTAAATCAATTTTTACTCAGACACTTTTTTTTAAAGAAAGTGATGTCGAAAAAAAAATTTAAACTGAAATTTTGATTAAAAACCTAAGAAACAAAAAGATATAAAATATCTGAAATTTTTCAATTAACCACAATTATCGGATACTTCATAAGATGCTTAAATATAACTTAAACATTTCGAATTTTAATACTAACAATTTTCATTGCAGCTCTGAATAAAGAATAAAAACTTCTCATTATTTATTTTTGTCAGTTTTCAGCTAATAAAAATTTTAATAACATTGATAATTATTAAAAATTAAATTAACTAATAATAGTATAGTATTTCTACAATGTATAAAAAATTATAATAAGTAATTAACTTTAGCACTCCATTTGAAATTCAAAAACTAGCAAAATACCTGCAGATCTTGTTTCGCTGCTTCAGCTCCAGCTCTTGTAGTGAAGGTTACAAAACCAACAGGCTAGGAAAAAAAATAAAACAACTAATCATACATTTTTATTTACTTTTCTATATGGAAAAAAAACACACAAAGAAATGATTATTTTTTTTATTTCTTAAGAGGATAATATTCTTATAAAAATTTCAGTGATTTTTAATTAAAAATGAAATGATTAGAGCATTAAGACCTTAGAACGGCAACACTTTATTGGCTCAGATATCCAAATACCAGTTTTCACTTTTCTAATTAATTTAGCATATCATCTCATACTGGGTAATATAAAAAGAACGAAACGTAAAAGTAATTGAAAATGAATCTGGCAGGATATCAAGTAATTAATTAGCTCTCAGATATGGCTTTTGCTATAATGTGGATGAAACAGGATAATTACCCCGATGATAACAAAGAACATAACTAATTAAAGTTCTTAGGATTTCAAGATTTCCTTTATTTCACATTCCTTAAAATACTCACCGAAGATGTTTTTCCATTTTTACTCGTGACTTTTAAAAGAGATCCTTCATAGCCCTAAAAAAGAGAAACACTAATTAATTATACATAAAATTACCATTTTAAATTTAAAATAATATTTGCAAATAATAAATAGCATCGTATTATTAACTTAATTACGATATTCATTAAAATTAACGTATTGACGATGAAGACGAACGTAGGAGGATACCTTCTTTAATTAACCGTTAATATTTTTATTGATTTTTAAAGTATCGAATTTTGTTAGTTAAAACGATTAGATCACATTTTCCTTATTTTTTTTAAATGCATTTCTTTTTCTTTTTTGTTTTTTTCTATTGTATCATTACACGAGTATACAAATTTTATTCACAAATCTTTTTCCACCATAAACAGCTGTGTCATCAAACATGTTTAAGGCAAATTTCATGAAAATTCAACATGAAAACTGCATGAGAACATCAATGTGTAATAGAGAACATCAATGTGTAGCATAGTGTTCCACGAAAAGTTAGTGTGACAGTTCCATAAGTGAGTAAAAACTCATGATGATGTTCTTAAAAAGATCAAGAATATTGTTAAGAGTAAATTAACTTAGAAGAATGTCGTTAGCCGAGTTTCAGATTTATTTTGATTTGAAAATTTATTTTGTCTTTGCAAACAAAATTTTAATGTTGTTTTCCAATTCTATCGTGTTCAATTTTCTAAGTTCTAAATTTTAAGTAAATTTTTTTTTGAAATATTATTTTTAAAGTTGATTTTTTTTAATAAGCTAAAAATAATTAAAATTAAGAATATTTTTTATTTCCTGTTACAGTATTTTTCCTTTAAGAATTAATAAATTTCAAACCTTATTTATTTTGTTAATTTTAAATGTATTTTCGTTTGCTAATTTTAAGTACAGCTCGTTTTGGTTCCCCGACCACTTCATGAGATAAACGTTTTTTAAGGCCCCCTTAAAAACTTTTTTTAAACAAACGTTTAGTAAACAAAAAAAATTTATCTCAATCATTATTTTCGATATAATATACTTTTAATTACATTTAATTGTTAATTTATTGAAAACTTCTACTGACCAACGATTTTATATTTGAACTTTCTTATGCTCCTTTTTCTTGAAAGCAACCCTCACTTAAATAAGAATTATTCACTGCTAGCATCTGTGTAGAGCGTAAATTAACTTTCCAAAAATTATTTTAAAGATTCCAAACTATTTTAATATTATGCTCATGATATTTAAAAAAAAAATAATAATTCGTTAAAAATTTAAAAAAAAAAAGAATAATTTGACTTCTTCTGAAAGACACTTCAAATTTTTTAGAACTGTAAACATTTTCTTGTTTAGAACTGCAACCACAGTGTCATATTCACTGTAAAATAGTCTAATAATCTTTTTCTCAATAAGTTGATAAATTAATAACTACTTTAAAAGCGAGTAATTTATACAGAGTTGAAAATGTATTGATGTTTCGATACAAAAAGGAAAAAATATTAAGTTAAAAGTATGCTCGTTACTTAAAAAAAAAACCATCCTCCTGAAAGCGAGCTCCTACACATCCTTTAAAAAAAGCCATCACCCCCATAAAAGTTTTCAACACCCACTGGGAGGGGTGGGAGAGAGGTAACTTAGGTTTAGATGTTAGTTGTGTTAGCTAGGTGTACAGTTAATTCTCGATGTTTATAATATTAGGACGTTCTTGCTTTTTAAAACTTGATTATGTTTAACTTTTGAACAGATATCTTATTGAGCGTTCTGCAGATAAGTTTTAGAGCTTTTAGAATTTTTTGCACATAGTGTTCCTACTTGGATCGCTAATATCAAATGCATAATGATAATCTTTATAGATAATAATTAGCTGAAAACCAAAATGGGTTCAAACTTATTTCTACATTGTTATATGATAATATGGTTACATCTAAATGAAAATTATTCTATTTAACACCGTTAACAAATTTTCGGTATAATATGGTGTATTTTGAAGTAAAATACGATGAAAAGTTTTTGTTATCTTTATATGGTGTTAAATTTAAACGTGTTTTATTTTTTCAAGTTGAGCCATAGCATCAGATAATGAATTTCAATATAGGATGGTTTGCACGATAATAAAGTTCAACTTGGAGCTGTAATAAATTTGCTCATATTTGCTTGATATTAATGTTCAATACTTTCCGAAATGGATCAGGTTTTTATTTTCAAGTTGACTCATAGTACCATCTAATCATGATCATGATGAACTGTTTTGCACAATAATTAGATTCAACTTCGCACCGTATTAAATTTGAGGCGAATTTGAATGATATTGAGGTTAAATTCATACTGAAATGGTTCAGGGATATTTTTTGACCCTCCAACTAATCAAGATAGAGGCGAATTGTTTTGCATGATAATTAGGTTTAACTCGGTACCATAATAAATTTACAACAAATATGAATTATATTACGGTTCAATTTTTTCCAAAATGGTTCAGTATTTCCCTTCAAGTTGACCCACCATATAATCAAGTTCGAGATGGATTCTTTTGCTCGATAATCAGGTTGAACTTTGTACCGTAACTGATTTGTAGGAAATTTGAATATTAATGTTTAATGCATTTCAAATTGGTTCAATTTTTTTCTTTCAAGTTGAACTAAAGTGTCATGTAATCAAGTTCAAAATGAATTATTACGCACGATAATTAGGCTCAACTTGTTAATGTAATAAATTTGCTGCAAATTTGAGTGACAGTATGGTTCAATGCTTTCTAAATTTATAATAATACATAATTTAAAAATTGCATAGCTACGAACCCTCAAGTTTTGTGTTTATTTTAAGTTTATATATATTTAAGATTATTTTTATTTATTTTTTGCGAATCTTCTTTTTCAGTTTCCGAACAGAAAAACTAAAAAAAAAAAAAAAAGTTTCTAAGCTTCTAAATCTTATGATAGGCTTGAATAAATTTTTAAATATAATATTTGAAATCGCATTATATAAATAATTTTAAAATAAAAGAAGAAAAAAAGAATAAATCCCATTTTACTTTGAATTTCCCCGTCCTTTATTCCTTTAGGCATAATGATCTTTATAGTTATCTCATTTTGTGATTTATTTTTTCCCTATCTTTTTTTTTCTTTCATTTTTTATTTTGTTTAATCATGTATCCGTCTCTACCAAACCCCTAGAAAATGAGATATTAAAGTATTTTAATTACAAAACCGTCCGGGCCTGATGTTATCAAATTTCTTGTTTCCTCAAGCTTCGTTAAGGTAGAAAAGAACTTCTTCAATCTTACCTCCAGGGATTCACCCCACACCATAACACCCCTTCCATTCTGTGCCACCTCTTGGAAAAAGGGAAAAAAAAAAATCTTTTTATCAGTCTTTAGTCGTATTGGAAAACCGATATAACCTGGGGAATAAAAATGGGGGAAAGGGAAGACGGAAAAAGGGAAGTATATTAAGATCTAAGGAACTTCCGTATGAGGGGATTTTAATTATTTGTTATTTTTTCCCTTCTGAGAGGGAAAAAAAATATTTTGGGGGAAAATCGATTCTTTTTTCTTCTCTTTTTCTCGAACTTTTACAACGAAGCCAAGATCGGACCAATTTAGGGACTAGGTAGAGTTTCAAACTCCGAACTTTTGATTTGTTACTGGTTGATAATGGAGGGATTGCGCAACAATGTCGCAACGTAGGGAATTTCCTGTGATGTAATTTGCATGGATCGAATTTGGAAAGTCCTTTATCGATTTTTCACGATCTCTTTCTGTCCCCAGACAGAAGAAAAATTAATGTTCGATATAACTTAAACAGTAAATGTGTGATAAGAGTGGAGTTAAATTTTTTTCTCTCAGGAATGATTTTTTAATGTGTAAAATGACGCTTTAAATTCCTCTTTTTTATTGGATAAGGGGGAGATATTGGTATTATTAAATATTAAGGTGTTTAACTAGTTTTGGTAAAGTAGTACGCATACCAAAATGTAGATAATTTTCAACATGTCATTTTTACTATTTTATCCAGGGAATAGCATAGATTAATATTTTAGATAAATATGCTTTATTTAAAGAAGCGCAGTTTAATGTTGTAATTAAAATGAATTATTTTTTAGATTTCTAAAATATGGGTTTCCTAGGGCACCGCATAATATTCATAAATTAATTTGCTATTTAGAGTCAAAACTAACATAAATATATATTTTCTAAAAATTAATCACACATTTTTTATTAGAAAGAAAATATTAAAAGCTTTTTATTTAAAATTTAAAAAACGATTTTTTTTTTTACAAAAAAGTTTTAAGATCTACTATTCATAAAAATCATATTATCATATCAAAATGATAATATGATTGATGTAAAAGTCATATTTAAATTTTATTTAGTTGAACTTAAAATAGATGGTTTAATCGAAGTATATATTACAAGATAGATTTGGTGACATTGGCTATGTTTGAAAGTGCGATAAAGTTTACAATCTGTAGTTGTTGATTTTGCGAGATTCGGGGGTTATAGCTTTTTTGCAGTTTAGCGCTTGCAATAGTTTAGCGACAATCGTCAACACGTCATTTCATCATTGACGACATTTTTCTATATCGCGCCTAGCGTATAACCTGTACTAGGCTTTAACCGAATAGATATTTTAATATTAGATAAACTTTGAATTTTTATAATAGATAGGTTTCTATATCATTTAATTAAAGGTTTAACTGTTATAAAGATCTATGCTTGAAGAGATTAACAAATGGTTAATTAGAAATAAAATACTATTACTTTTTTAACTAAAATAATTTTGAGTTTTTTTTAAAATTTTTTAAAAATTTTCTTAATAATCTTTTTTATAAGATCTATCTAAAAAATTTCGTAAGATCAATCCTTAATATTTATTTTATTTATTATTATTCAATTTTGTATTTAATTCCTGGAAAAAACATCATTGAATTTTAATCTTAATCTTAATAATATTAAAATTGAATTTTAATCTTAATATCAATTGTGTTGACGTAATGTTGCGTTTAAGAAATATTTGTTAACCGCTTAAATGCCGAATTAAAAAAGAGTAAACTTAATTTTATAAATTAACTGCTAAAAAAAATTTTAACGTTGTTCCATTTTAGGAACATTGGGGTTTAACTGTACATCGATCGGAACAAAATTATATTTACTTTGAAGTCCTTGAAAATTTAAAATATTTTGGGAAATATATTAATCATTTGGTATTTTTATTAATACATTATTCTTTTTAAAGCGTAAAATGATTAAAGATTAACTTCTATATATTATCATATTATCCAGGAATAGTAAGTTAAGTGGAAAAATACTTTACTTACTTAATAAAAAAAAATCAGTTTTTATGCCAATAATTAAATTGGTCCATTGTTAAACGATGCTGTCATGTAAATTTCTAGCTGTCTTATTTAGATGGTAAATTGAACCAGGTGCTCGCTAAATTTCGAATATTGTATCGCATTATGAATTTAAAAACTATTTAATTTTGCAGGATGATAAGCATGGTCCAATTTTTTGCCTTGAAAGGGTTGTTGAAATTTATACTATAATAATGGTTCAGCTAGACATTTCATAATGGTAGAAGAAATTTGCATGATATGATTCAACCTATATCCCTTACTTCGGGAAAGTAAATTAACATGGCAATACAACTTAACTGCACCTCTTGGAAAATTTGCATTGTAATATGATTCAAATTGGTAGATACTGAAAGTTGAAAAAATTTGCATAATAGAATGGCTGAAAGCACAACAATATTTTTTGAAATTATATAGTTCAACAATGTTTGAAATTAGCAGTGAGTTTTAAAAAGAAAAAAAATATTTATTTTTTTTAAAGGTTTTGTGCCCTTTTATCACATTTGACACAAAAGACGAAATGTTTCAAAAAAAGAAATTCAGTATAATGGAGTTGTTACGTATAAGAAAAAAAATTCTATTTAAAAATTTAGGATTTCTATGTTAGGAATGTTTCGGTTATTTTATTACTAATATTTGGTTAGTTTAATAAAATTAATAAATTTTGAAAAAAAATCATTTAGGTGACATGGAATTCAACTTCTGTTGCTATTTGAAGCAGTTGAATCAAAAACGGCCTAAATAAGCTCACTTAAATATTCTTAATACAACTCAGTTTAAATATTATGTATCCTCTCTCTATTAAAGCAGAAGCGTTAGCTGAAACAATATTATTGATCCTTTTCGAAAATTTTAAATACAAAAATTTTCCTTTCAAATGAAAAAAAAAACACTTACCTTATAAGCCCGAAACAGCAGGTAAAGTTCTCTGGGTTTCGCATCCATAGGCAAGCCACTGACAAATAACGTTCGAACCTGGAAAATAAAGGAATCGATTAGGCAAACATAGTATAAATATATATATATATA